ACAACCAGAGTAAAGGAGAAGAATTGTATCAAGAATTTCTAAAATTTGCGCAAGAAAATGACATTGTACTTCAATTACCGCGAAATACAAAACATAAAACAATTCGAGAACATTTTGATAATATTTACCAAACATTCATGAATACGACAGTCGATGAATTATCAGCAAGATTCTCGGAGCATCACAAACTCGTCCTACGTATCAGTAAATTGATTCCATCTAATGTGATTGATTACAAATTTGACGATATCAAATCATCATTCGAATTCTATGAGAAAGATCTGCAAAATCAAAACTTGAAAACAGTAGAAGCCGAATTCGACTTATGGAGAGATCACTGGCTAAAGCGATCTGAAGGTGAACGCCCAAATACATTGTATGATACTCAAAAAACAGCAAAATACATGAAACAATTCCATCCATCAATCTTTGTTTTACTGGAAATATATGCGGTATTGTCAGTATCCGTTGCAACTGCAGAGAGAACTTTTTCGGCGTTGAAACGAATCAAAACTGATCTAAGAAACCGAATGGGCGATACTCGATTAAATAATCTCGCCCTATTACTTTCACCTTTCTTGCTTTCGTGGCAAGATTAGCAAACAATAAAACACTAAAGAATAAAGAACAGAAAGATTTTTATGTTGACGCATCCTCTTTGTTGTTCAAAAAATGAAATATAATACGAGTAGTTTTAAGATATCCCAGCACTAAAGCATAGAGTAAAAGGATAATTTTAGAAATAAAAAGTTATGTCGATTTGGTGGAAAAAATGTTAGGCCCCCCCTTAAGAAAATCCTGGCTACGCCACTGCGGCATTGAACTGTTTAATACATTGTAATCTGTCGAGATTACCGAAGGATGATAATTTGCTAAAACTATCTAATGATTTACAATACATTAAATATTTCTGTAAAGTATCAGACACTAAAAAGGCTAACGAATTGTCATGCATTAGAGGCAGTTAATGTTCTGTAAAACTTTTTTTTGAAATTTTGTTATAACCTATTACAACTATTTAACAAATTATAATGCGTCAGCTATACTAATGAGTGATAATGTGTTAGACAGAGTAACGCATTATATCGCATTAAAGAACGTAGTATCCGCATTATTGCTCGTTAACGCTTAGTATGCATTATAATGTGCTCCAATTTGAGACTTAATGCGAGTTTGGCGCATGATAATGCATTAAAAAAATGCTTTTCATAAATTAATGACCTTTAATGCATAAATAATGGATTATAACGACTTAGCGTCTTTAACAAATTATAATGTCCTGTTTTTTCATAGATTTTACGTAGTTTTTTATGCTTTCATGCATTATAATGCATAACAATTTTAATCTATTATCATGCGTATCATTATTTAATTTTATTTCATGTGCATTAAAGCCCCAAAATTATCCAATGGGATAGAATGCGGATGCTATTTTTATTTTTGAAAAGCGTTAATGCATTCACATGCATTAATATCTAATGCATTCACATGCATTAATATCTAATGCATTCACATGCATTAATATCTAATGCATTCACATGCATTAATATCTAATGCATTCACATGCATTAATAGCTAATGCATGTGATAGCGTTAGACTGCAGTCTAACGCTATCAGAACATGCTCTTAAAGTCTGTGAACGTATTGAACAGACGAAGAAACTTTTTAGCACATTGGAGTGCCTTAAATAATTTCATGCATTTGAATGCATTAATTCTAATGCGTTCACACGCATTAAATTAATCTAAATACATGTAAATGCATTAAATGGACGAAAAGGTTTTTATGTTTTCGAACGCATAAAACGTTTTAATAAGTTTAAATGCGTTTGTTAATACGATTTAATGATACGTATTTAATGAGTTTAGACATATTAAAGGTATAAAATGCCGATTTTAATGCGTTCAAAGAAAATTTTTGGTATCAAAATAATTCGCTGAGATCGATGTGGAAGATCTTAGGTCACTCTATCAAAATAAGGAAACCGAAAGAATCTGCAGAATAAACGATTTCTTTGCTGATTCGATGTACTTCAGATGCATATGAGTAGCTGCGCTATTGAGCTGCTTATTCTGATCACACCCTAATAAATTTTCAAAAGTTTCTTTTTCTCAAAGAAACGAGATGATCCTTTCAAGGTAAACACTATCACATATGTAACTGACCGTGCTGTACAAAAGTTCTCTGGTCTACCTTTAGCAAACCGCCTAGGAAAAAAAGTTATCTGTAGCACAGCGGTTTAGTGCAGAGAAACTAAATTTTTTCATTGACGTCGGATCTAATACGGATCTTTTGATTTTTTTCCAAAAACATCGGAAGGTTCCATTTGAGATAAATAGGCCGTACCACTACATCGATCATGGGCCCCAAGCTTCCGCAGGTTTCGCATCGGCAACCCCTGAGAATGAAAGCGCCACATTTTGATATGAGGCAGGATTCGGACCAGTGTTTTTAATAGAAATCTTTTCGGAGTAGAACTTTCCACTTTGCTATTAACATCAAAGTGGGGTTTCGCACTTTGGTCTGAAATGTCATGGGATTTTTCTCTCTTTTGCGCGACCAATCATTCAAAACACTAAGCCCAGGTCAATGCAAGCTGCTCCTAAATTTTAGTAGCCCTTATTTCTGGTTCTCCCTCAAGAACCCTCCCTTACAAGCACACAAGCGCTTCTTTCTTCGCTTAAACCCATTTGAACTTCATTGGAAAAAAATTCTTTCCAGTCTTCAATTTGTGTACTTTTGGTTTAATCTTCATTTTATTTTATTTTATTTTATTTTTCTACATTCAGCTTCCACTTTGCGGTTCTGCCTCAACAATCAACAAACGCTGTTTTTGGACGTATATCAATAAAATATAGGCAAAATGCTATTGGTTCAATCCGACCAATTGAATCCACACGCCGATTCACACGCAAAATGCTTTACTCGATTTTAGAGCTACAGTTTCGACATTATTGAAATTCATAGAATGATTGGTAGTATTACAATGTTGTGCAATTTGTGAAGTTAGTTTATTTTCTTTAATCTCATTTATATGTTCACTCATTCTAGCAGACTTTTTCCGATTGGTTTCTCCGGTGTATTTCAATTCACAATTATTACAATATAAAATTTGTTTTTCTGAAATATATAAATAAGCACGCGAGAGAAGAGAAAAATAATATATATTATACAAAAAGCAATAGTAAGAACGAAGCAAACAAAAAAGTTTATTAGTATACATACAAGAAACAAAAACGGTCAAAACAAAGTTTGTGGTCTCTCCAACAAGACAAAAGTCTATTCAAATTTTTCTAATTCGTCGGACGGGTAAATTGTTCTGTCATTTGAGATGATGGTCATGACTGACCATTATATTCTGTTGTTGCCGTTGTATAATTTATAAAATAATTCATATAATATTGATATATATCTGGCGAAGCATAATGTTCAACATATGTATAATTTTGTTGTACATAATTGTTTTTAGTACCACAGTCCATTAATGATTTAAATGCATTTAAAGATTTTATATTCGTATAATTATCAATAATTCCAACACCTTGAAATTAACAAAAAACACAACATAAAGTGTTAGACATAAAAAGTGGAATATTCCTTAATGAAAATCTTAGAGAATCTTTGTTTTATACATACCTAATGATCGCCTATTTTAAGTTTTACAATATGCTCCAATATATTTCCATCCTCTACCTGTATAAATTAATTGTTGACTGCTATTATCCGTAGCATAACCACCACAAACAATAAAATTATACGAAATATCATCATAATGATGATATTTGATGATAAGCGACTCTTGTTCATGTTATATGTTTGAAATACGCTTATATACAGTTCGCAACAGTCTGCTTTCAGGTCGTCTATAGAATTCATGTGTGCCACCTCTGCTCTCATTTTCATCCTATGGTCAGTTACGGAGAGAATAAGGAATGAGACGAAAACTAAAATATTAATTCCTTGAACTTAATCCTGACATTGAGACAAACGCCTGTACGAATACGAGCACAGGCACGGGCAACGGATATGTGAATGTGCGCAGACATTGATTCTGGCATGGACTAGGGTCCATGTCCGTGTCCGTGCCGGATTTGCATGGTTTTACGTGAAGCATAACTTACAAACAATGCAGTTCTATTAAGAAGAAAATGTCTTGTAGCATCTATACCAGAAATTGATTGATATCAAGGAGTGTACGTGAACATACAATATTGGAACGATCGTAGCGTAATGCATGGACAGCATTCAAAATGTTTTTATTATCCAGATGTGAATGTGGAAATAATCAGTTCAATTCAAACTAAGAAAACATAAAGAGCATAAAAGTTTGATTAATAAATTAAGAATTAAATAGCCATGAAGAGAATTCATTCTATTTTTTTTGAATCAACACGCCTTATCAACAGAGTGAACATGAAAATTTGAGGTAGCAAAATTCCTATTGCTTATTGTCACAGGACATTTTTTTATTGTTACAAGACAATTATTGCTGTCACGGAACATTTTTCGTGGCTTTCGGAATCCTGAGACGCAAAACATGAAACATTTCTTTCGCTTGTTTACAGTATTCCGTTCCATTTTGTGCATCTCCTGATGCCGCATAGCAAAAACCAAGTTGTTCCAACGTTTTTGCAATATCGTAATGATCGCCCTTATATAAATTTTGATACATTTTTAATGATTGGTGATGCATTTCTAGTGCTTGTCTATAGCATTCTACTTTTACATCGCCTTCTACATCTCCTAATCTTTTATAATTGAATCCAACACTAAACAACAAGTTTGCAACATCTGGATGATTGCCTTTATATAAATCTTGATACATTTTTAATGCTTCTTCAGAGTATTTTAATGCTTGTTGATAGTGATCTAATGCTTGTTTATAGCAGTTTAATTTTATATATGCATGTCCTAATTTACTAAAACTGAATCCAACACTACTCAACAATTTTGCAACATCTGGATGATTGCCTTTATATAAATGTTGACAAATTTCTAATCCTCGTTTAGAACATTCTGATGCTCGTTCAAAGTATTCTTTTGATCGTTCAAAGTATTCTTGTGATCGTTTAAAGTTTTTTTTCGATTTTTGGTTTTCTTTATCTCCTAATTTATTACATGCCATATTAACATTATTTAACGATTCTGCAACACCCGGATGATTGTCTTTATATAAATCTTGATACATTTTTAATGCTTGTTCAAAGTTTTTTAATGCTTTTTGTTCATCTTGTAATTTAATATAAGCAAATCCAACACCATTTAATGAACGGGCAACATCTTCATGGCAACCTTCATGACTGTCTCGATATACATTTCGACGCATTTTTAATGCTTGTTCACAGTATTCTAATCCTGTTTCTGCATCACCCGATTTATTATAGCAATATCCAAGTTTTTCCAGTGAACTTGCAACATCTGGATGATCACCATCATATAATGCTTTTAATATTTCCCACTTATTTTTATGATATTTTATTAAATTTTTAAAATTACATAATTTATATTGCTCATAGTTTGCTATTTTTGAATATAAATTGCCTAAATTTTTAATATCGTTAATTTCTTGCACTAATTTTAAGTTTATCAATTTGTGTGTATGTCGATAATATATTTCTGCTTTATTCCAATCGTCATTTGGCATATTATCAATTTCTGGCATTTTATTATTGATTACGTTAATCAGTTTTTCTAATATTTTCACTTTTTTTATACACTTTTCAATATTGTTTTCTTTGTCCATATATTTTTCAATTGTATCTTTTATTATCGAATGTAATTTAATTCCAATTACAGATTCTTTCTCATTTTTTAATTCAATTTGATTTACTAATGAAAGTTCTTCTAAAGGTTCTTTTTCTTTATCAATATCAATTTTATTACTATTATTTTCTTGTTCAATTAATATTTCCTTAAGTATATCGATACTTATAAAATTTTCATCTAAAAATACACAATGTTGTAATAATTTCCATCCATTCGATGATTCATTTATTAATTCTTTAAGTAGATATTCCTCTGCATTTATCTCTCCATGTTCTTTTATTTCTGTTTTATAATCTTGTATTGACCAAGATTGCTTTTGTAGTAAAGTTATTACTTTTGATAATTTAAATGGATGTACCTCTTCTTTTTCATTTGTTTTTATCAAATCAAATAGTTCTTCTGCTTGAGATTGATTAAACGTTCTCTTTTTATCCGATTTTGTTATATATTCACAGCATTCAGTTTTATTAAATGGTTTCATGTCTAAATTTGATTCATTGCCAGATGCGAAATTATCTTTCAAATAATTATTTTTTGTTGTTATTATTGTTTGAACATTATTTGGTAAATTTATTATTAATTCATTAATATCATCGGCATCTTTGGCATCATCAAATACAAATAAAACATTTAATTCTAATAGTTCCAATTTACTATTTACCAAATTTATAATAATTTGTTTTTCACTTATTTCCTTTCCTATTCTAAGTTCGTATATTGCCATCTTTCTATAATCATTCCAAACTGAATCTTCTGATTCAGCATTAAACCATCGAACTCTTTTATTATTTTCAGCTTTTTGTTGATGTGCATATTGTGATGCAAGTGTTGTTTTACCCAAACCAGCATAACCACTAATAATAACATATTTATTTGATTTTGACAAAATTTCTTCGATTTTATGGACTAATTCTTCCTTTCGTATAAAATTTTTTATACTTTCTTTTGGTAAATAGTTTGCTAATATTATTGATGATTTATCATCTGTCATATCTGAAAATAGTGTTTTTTTAAATAATCAACTTTAATTTGTAATTTTTTCATACTTACTCTCTATATTTTTGTTGATTTTTGAAACAGTTGCTAAATATTCATTTTGGCTATTCGTATGTACTTGTGTTAATGTATTAATTCTATCTTCGATATTCTTACCCGATGTTGTAATGACGTTTTTTATGTTTTCTTGATTGTATTCTAAATTTTTATTCTGAATTTTAAGTTCAGACATATTTGAATTTATCTCATCAAGTTTCATTTCTATTGACGTTCTTATTTCTTTTATCTTATTAACCAAGTCCACCTGTGCTATTCGTGAATTAATTATTTCTTCTGTACATCTTTTATAATATATTAATATATCTCGATCATTATAGGATGACAATAATACAGAATCAATTGCCTTCACATAATCATTTTGCATCTTTTGACCATCACATAGTTCAGTAATTATTTTTTTTAATTCAACTTTATAATAATTATATTCCTTATCATTCAACTTAAATTCAGCTAAATGACCAAAATTTACATTACGTATGATGCGTAATCGATTAAAATTTGCAGCTAATGATCTATCATTTGTATTAATTACATCCCATCGACCATTGTTTTGTTTATCTTTAGTTAAATTTCGTAATATGCTAAAACAAGATGATAAATCAAATTTATTAAAATCATTTGGTATCAATGAATTATTTATTGAATCTCCATATGGAAAATTGCAATTGATTTCAAATATTTTGTTTTTTACATCATTCAAATGATTACAACTTTGTATTGTCTGTAAATTATTCCATAAAAAATTAAAAACACTTCTATTCGACGAATTTGCAATTTTTGTAAGTTGATAACGCATAACCTCTGTCCCATAATCAACCAATATTATTGATATTTTAATCACGTTTTCTTGTTCTTTTGACATTTTTTATGTTTTATTTTGATAAAGATTTCTTGAAAATAATATTTTTGATTTTTTCGAATTTTACGATGTAATACAAAATCTTGAAAAGAAAACAAACAAACATAAATGAAAACTTAACACACACACACACACATGAAATTATGACCAGTCCTACGTGTTCATGAGCACTTAAGAGCAATGATGTCACTGTGCTTTCAACAAATTAATAATTTTTTTTTTCATGAAAAGGAGGAGTATAATGTGTAAATAGTACAACATTTGTCATAAGATGGAATAAAAAGATGAAACATATGAAATAATTGGAAATAAACAAAAATTTAAAAATATTTCATAATTTTTTTTTATTGAATAAAAAGAGCAAAAAATGTTTGTCTATCGTCGATTTATACGAATTTTTTTTTCTATATTTCTTTTTATTGTGTGTATAATGTATTCTGTCAAACCTTATGTATAGTGTCTATTTTTTACTTATTATGTCAATTCCAATAGACTTTTAACAGAGAATTCTACGAACAAGTAAAAAAACAAACATGACACACACAGAATAATTGCGAATAAAAACAGATATTCTACACGGTTGGAAATAATATTTTTCCATGGGGGTAGAGCTGAAACTACAGATGATATAAAAATGTATTATATACCAAATTAATGTTCATCTAAAATGGAATTGATGTGTATGACTGAGATTCCGTATGACGATTATTGACTGTAGAACTATGGAAGTTTCTATCGAGT